ATGATGGTAAGGATGACGGACTGAACAATTTACGGGTTAATAGCACAAATCCAGTGTCACAGTTAGGATTTAACTTAAGAGTGAAAAAACAAGGAAGTACATAAAACCACTGTCATCTGCAACAAAAAGAAAACTGAATATCTATGGGGAAAATCTGCCAGGGGTGGGATTTGGGTGGTGGTGGTGAAGCCCAGACTCTACAGAATTGTCCTAAAATTCAAAATTTTAAGATTAAAAAAAAATACTGAACATATACACCAGTCTACATAAACCAGGTGCCAAATTACAAAGAATTCCTTCCTAAACCAGTCTGGAAAGAAAAGGCCAACCAAGTTAGACCTGGACATACTGACGTTAGTGATTTTTACCTAAAATGGCCCACTACGCTCAGCCATCCTCCTTGTAGGACACCTCCACTCAAATTTTAATTTATGACCAACTTATTCGCTACTTCTCAAGCCTAGATGTTAAATGTAGATATCAAGTTGAATTTAACTCAAAACTCAAAAGCTATTACTCTTTTTAAGAGTGTACTGTCAGTATTTTTAAAAGTTTGCCTAAAGAATGGGAGCCTAATCCCCAGGTGCTCCAGGAAGGAAGCTGAGCCCTGATCCTGTAACTCTAAGATCAGCAGAGCATCTGCGTATATAAAATGGCGCACTTTTCAACACAGGTGTAGCACACACAAGCCGAATTCTGGGGTGGAAGGTAAATGTTCACTTGCACCAATGACCTCTGTTTCTAACTACTGATGTAATATCAAACCACAAAATAAAGTAAAAATGTGACCTCTGTAATTTTTTTTCTCATCAAGCTTACTTGCTTATTCCTTGTTATTTTCAAGTTTTAAGTTTTAAAAAAGGAAGTGGTTCTACAACTATTAACCATATTTCCAATATATTCTTTGATTCAATGAAGGCAGAAGTAGAGCTAGAAGTCATGGTTTGGGCCTGGTGTGATACCCTAGTGGCTAAAGTCCTTGCCTTGCATGCGCTGGGATATCATAGGTGCCGGTTAGTATCCCGGCAGCTCCACTTCCCATCCAGCTTCCTGCCTGTGGCCTGGGAAAGCAGTCAAGGACGGTCCAAAGCCTTGGGACCCTGCACCCATGTGGGAAACCCAGAGGTGGTTCCTGGATCCTGGCCTTGTATCAGCTCAGCTCTGGCTGTTGTGGCCACTTGGGGAGTGAACCATCAGATGGAAGATCTTCCTCTATGTTTCTCCTCCTCTCTGTGTATCTGACTTTCCAATAAAAAAAATTTTTTTTTTTAAATCATGGCTTAAGTGAGTTTCACTACTGAAAATAACACTACACAGAGAAGAACATTTTAAATGCTAATCTACCTAGTGATGAGCTTACCAACTTGCAAAGTGATATCAGACAATGTCTAAATCACAGCAAGTACAACTACAACACTAACATCTTCAGGGGAAAAAAGGATTTACCAACCATCAATCCAGCAATACATGCTACACAAACATATACATAACATACAGAATTGCTCTGTTACCCCTGCCACCACAGAAGTGCTAACGAGAACCAACAAAAAATTCCCGATAGAAAGGAAATGCTAAAGGCATAAAGAGAAGTCAAACCACCAAACTTCCTTACATAGCGCATGCTCACTCCATTGCTGTGAAATGAACTCCAGCTGCTTCACGCACTACCACTTTAACAGTTCTGTAGCTGTGAGGTCACTATTTAGTTTCTTAGGCATAAGCAAATCAAATTTATATCTTCACAAATATCCTGCTTAGAATGAGAATAAATCTAGTTGAGGAAAATCACTACTGCAGCTGTCAAGTAAGAGAGTGCAGGTGTGAGCGACGCCTCAGGAGCACCAGGCCACGACTCACATTAAGCAGGGACCATGCTAGGCTGCCCAGCCTCAGCCACCCTGCATCTTAAATCAAACCAGACCTCATGCTCACAAGGAATGTGACAAAAGGTCTCTCCTCACCCCTCAGAGCTAGAGACATTAGGAGAACCCAAAGCCCCACAAAAACGATTAAGATCAAGGCTCAAAGCTCAATACAATTCCAGAGGGCAAATTTAGTTTAAACATGGCACACTGCAAACGGGCATTTGGTGCAGTGATGACCACACTGTTTGGGACGTCCACGCCTCACATCAGGGACACTGGGTTCTGGTTCCAGCTCTGCTTCCATCGGCAGCTTCCTGCCAGTGCCCACCCTGGGAGGCAGCAGCGCACGGCTTGAGTGCTTGGGTCCCTGCCACCCTCATGGGAGACCTGGATTTATTTGGGCTCCTGGCTTCAGCCTGGTCCTGTCCCAGCTCTTGGAGGCAATGACGGGGAATGAATGCCACAGCAGTGCTTTCCCAGGGCAACATCCCAGCGCAGACCCAAGGAGGGCCAGCAAAGCTCTCCCTCGCTTTGACCTAGGGCACGCTCTGGACCACTTCCATGGATCACTCCCACCCTATCTACCACCTGCTGTGGTTTGGGGCAGTAGCCCAAGTGTCACTTTCCAGGAAGAGAAAAGGATCAGGGTCCAGCAGAACTCCTCTTTACAGAGTAAGAGCACAAAAAGCTTACAAACTTCATGCCGTTTATGTACAGTCAGTTCCCGTCCTGGGTCCCAAACCATCCTAGGTGCTCATTTACTAAATGCTCACCACCTTAGAGGGCAAAACACTTACACCTTTGAACGCATAATTCACTCTCCTAAATGGAACTCATTCCCCTTACATTAGCTGAAGGATCTTTCTGAAACCCATGGCTACTCAGCAGGATGATGCAATGATGCGTCCCAGATAGGATCATGGACGAGCTGGAATCTGCACAACCCCCAAAGTCCTACTGCATCCGCACCTCGCTCGTGTGAACCTATTACCACACTTTCCCAGGTCAGAGGAGCCTGCAGACTGCCTAGACTGACACATTCAGAGGCCCTAAAAATTCCCTTTTAAACCTGAAAACCTAATTCCTAACTCAGTTTTCAGCAGGGACACCTTGGAGGGATTTCAGATCAAATGTGTTATCCACCACCTGGCCTGCAGTGAGCTTTCATTTGAAAACAGTCTGCTTTGAAAAATACTGTAACCCAGATACCAAAGCATGTTTATTTATGTTCTCCAAGAACACCGAAAGGAAGACCTGAGTTCAGAGAGCAGACTTAGTACCTGAGGTCTATATATCATTCCATGTTTTAGAATTACCTATAGTCAATCCTATTCTCAAAGACTTAGAGGAAATCAGACAGCAACCGAAGATGGGTAATTTGGTAGACAAGAGGCTGAACATGGGAACAAACAGCTGCCATCACTGAGACTGCCTAAGCAGGCACGAGCGCAGCGTGGCTCGGGGCTCACCAGCCACCAACTCGGAGGTTTCCGGGAGGCAGCCAATCCCTGCAGAGCCACTCCTCAGCGCGGTATTGCCCATCTGGGACTGGCCCCAGATGACCTGAAACAAAGCTCACCATCACGCTCCCCTTAAACCAACATCTCCTAATACAGGTCCTCAACTGTCCATCTTTGCCATGTCCAGCCAACCCCTCAGGGCCACACCCAGGCCCTTTCATTCACTCTCTGCCCCACCAGTTTCTTCCTTTTAGCCGCTGTAGCAGAACACACTGAATTTTCTTCTTAACTTCCAGGGGTCTGGCCTTGCTGAGGGATTCCAAGAGGGTCACGGACATTCAAACCCCCCAACAGAACAACTGCTTCTGTAGGCTCTGCCCTGACCCAAGTTCAAGGTGGGGGTGACTCCAGGCCAGCCTTCCTCCTGGCTACCCAACTGATTCCCTCCTGTTCCTCAGTCAGCCCGGGTTTCCGAAGACGCTTGGACCGGCACATCTCCCACACCCTGGGCCTGCCTTTGTGAAGGCCTGCCACTCCCTGACATGTTCAGAACGCCCGATTTCCACCGCACTCCACACCTCACCTCTGTGTCCCCACCAGCTCCATCACTGTCACCCAGGCGCCTGTGGCTTTCCACAGTGGAGCTCAGCTCCTGCCATCATGTCCTCTCCATGTCAGGATCTTACAGCCTCCAGGCACAGGTCTGCCTCTTTCCTGGAGTTCAGAAGTGACTGCTGTGTCTAGAATAAGGAGCCTGGTGGTGGACTCACCCTCAACTGACACCCAGGGCGAGGAAGGTGTAGAGGAATGGAGAGTGTAAGAATGGAAGGGGTAGAAGAATGGTGGTGTCTGCCAAGCCCTCACCTCAGCTGCCTGGCATCGGAGCCACCAGCCTGGATTTCTAGTACAGGAGGCCCCTCCCCAGCCTCTAGCACAAGCCCATTCCACACAGGCCCTTCCTTCACTCCAGGATCAGAAAGCGAACATCCCTGTGGCTACTTTCATGTTAACCATCGTCTTTAAACCAAAAACACAACCCCTTGCCAAAAGGCTTCCTCAAGTTAACTCTGGCGAACCAAAGTGTCCCCAAGGGCCTACCTGGAGTAAACCATGAAACCATTTTAAGCAAAAGAGCTGAGACAAACTCCACAAAGCTGAGCAGGCACAGAAGGACCCCTACAACACACACTCCAGTGTGCACGCTCGACTTCCTGGGCCTCGGGAGCAGATGGTCCGGGAGCAGGGACGGCCACGCCGGGCTGAGGACCAGGAGGAGGAAGTGGCCGGAGCGACTGTCCCATTAACCCACTGCTAAGAATAAACTCCAGCCTCCCTCCTCCCCCGCCGCACTCCCATCCACACACCTCTTTAAAAAAAAAAAAAAAAGGCCAGAAAGGACCGAGACTGGGTTGGAGAGGCAAAGGGTCCTCCCGTCGTCCCTCGGCCTCCTGGGGTCCCGCGGGAGCACCCCACATCCCGGGCGGCAGTCTGCAGGTGCGGCAAGGCCGCCCACCCACCCACGTCTCCAGGTGGGCCCGAGCCCGCGCTCGGAAGCCCCACCAACTGCGGGATCGCGGCGACCGAGTCCGGGTCAACCGGGAAAGGTGAGCAGCAGAGTCCCAGGGGGGCTGGGGTGGGTGCCCCCTCGCGCGCCCACCCGGCCGGGCCGCCCTACCGTGGCTCTGCAGGATCTCGTGCTTGAGGCCCCCGGTGTAGTCGATGAGCTCCTCCAGGCCGCGCTCGCACAGCTGCCCGTAGCCGGAGAACTTGTGCAGCACCTTCTCCAGCTCGCGCTCCACCGTCACGCACTGATCCATGCCGGAGGCGGCGCTCGGCTCGCCGGCGCCCGGGTGTTCGCTGCCGTCCGGCCCGGGCCCAGCCGAGGCCGCGTCCTGCTGCTCCTCGTCCCCCAAGGCGAGCGGCGCGGGCGCGTTAGCCGCGGCGCCGGGGCAGCCCCGCGCAGCGTGTGCCCGCCTGCCCCATGGCCCCCGGGGTGCTCCGCGCCGCCGCTCCCGCTCGCCCGGCCCCAACCCGGCTCCGCGTCCCCGGCTCGCTGCGTCCCGCCGCCCGCCGCGGCGCCGCCGATTGTTTTTGTTTTCACGGGAACGGACCGATGACCTGGTTCTCCCGGGCGACACCAAGCGCCGCCGACTGAGAGGGGCGCAGCTACCCCCGGCCGGCGACAGAGGCGGCGCGGGCCGTACCAAACGCACGCCCCGGAGAAGGGGGCACCAGCCCGGCGGGCGTGGGCGGAGGAACGCGACGACTGCCGGCTCCCAAGGCGTGGACTGTACCACTCAGACTCGGCCGGGGAGAGGACGAGGGCGAGGCAAAAGCCCAATTGGTCCCGGGAGCTAAAATAGGGAACTTGGGTGACGGCCCCGGCGGGCGGAGAGCGCTACAACTACGCGCCCCGTAAACAAGGGGGTGGAAACCGTCCCTCGCCACCCCGCCCCGAAGCCAGGAGAGCAGGCCAATGGCTTCGTAGACCATGGAAAAAGCCCGCGTCCTCCAATCGCGGAGCGAGGCGTAAAAGTCTTCAGCCAATCCAGGACGAAGGTCCAAACCAACGCACTCGCTGTTGGAGGGGGAGCCTTGGTGAGCGTGTCTGGAGAAGCAAGTGGTTTCCGGGAATCCTTGAGAGGGAAGCGGGGGCGGAAAGGGAGGCCGTTCTCCTCAGTCAGACTTGGCCCTAGTCCGCACTCAGGATGTCGCCTGGGAGGGAAACGGGTCGCTCAGTCCCAGGTTCTGGTGGCTGGACTCCGCCCCGGTGGCGACCCGTGACGGGGAGCTGCGGGCCACGCCCGGGAGGCCACACGCTGCCTGACGCGGCCGCCACTTGTGGCGCTTGTGCCCTTGTCGTCGAAGCTCTCCTGACGGTCGGGGAGTGGTCGAAAGCGGCGCGGGGCGGCCGGGCCCGGCCTCCAGGGAACCCTGGACCAGGGCCTGTCCACTCAGCCTGAGCATGGCCGCCTCGGGAGCATCCCGCCCGCCGGCCTCGCCACGGCCTCGGCTTCCTCCCGTGACCACGCCGGTCAGCTCCCCGCGCTGCCTGCCTCGTGGCCCCACCATATCAGAGCGTCGTGCTTGATGACTGCCGCGCCACTTAGCCGTGGCACAAACGATTTTTACTTTTTTATGCTTCCCCACCACTTCAGTACCACCGTGAAGGCAGGCCCTGTTTCTGACTAGAACAGAGCTGGGCAACGGGGTAAGCTTTTTTTTTTTCCCCTTTAAATTAAGGTGATAAGCCTTTTTGAGTCTCAGTGTCCTTATATTTGGATATGAGTAGCCCCGCACCTGGTGGTTAGGCTGGATGAGGTACATAAGTGCTGTGGCCAGTGGCAGCCACGCTGGTGTGGCCGGTCTGATGCTGGTCTGATGATCGGCCTCAGGGTAATCCGGCTCCTGCTATTAAGCAGCTCTCCTCCCCACCCACCCCCGTTTTGCCTTCTCCGCTTCTTCCTGGGAAGATGGCCCTGATTCTTGCAGCACTAAACTGTAAAACGTCCAGCTCCAGAAATTACCCCAAAATATTGCTGTCTTCCATGGGTGTTATGACCCTCAAACACACAGAGAAACTGAAATCCCTGCTTTCCCACCCAAGACAACCCTAGAAGCTGCTGGCTTCACCCACCGCCTGCACTTGCGACCCCCACCCCCAGGTTTTTCCCTTCTGAGCTGTGCACCTCCCAGTTATCCAGATAGATCTTCACACTGGGTCTTCCTTTGGCTCCTTGGATCTTTGATAAGCCCAATCACCTTTTTCCCCCCTTAATAGAGTGGTTAGGGGTAGTTGCCAGCTGCAATGCCTGGCACAGGTAGCAGCTGCTATTTATTATCCACTGGTCAGAAGTGATCAACTGACTCATCACCTAGAGTTTGAAGACCTAGCCGGTCGCCTGGGTTCTTGGGTGTGGCATCTCATGGCATTCTCCCATCTACAGGCCATGCTGTGTCTTGGTCTTACTGAGAACATTCGAGTATGTTCTCCAAGGCTTTATTGAGACTTTTTCTATAACCCAGCCCGCTTTTCCAGTTTGCACTTTGTTTGCTCAAGTTGATCGTTAGCTCCCAGATCTGGGTGGACTACTTTGCCTTGGCGCAGTGGCTTACTCATCCCAGGTTAAAGAGCGCTCTGATTATTTGCTGAAGGAAAGGAGAATAAACAAGCTGGAGAAGAGGCTTCAGCTTTAGCCATAAGGCAGGAAAAATGAGTTGGTGTTCCTCTTGACTGCTGGCTTTCCCAGTCCTGTGTGTGCTCTAAGCAGAAACCTGTGGTTCTCAGAGCTGCTAGTGAAGCAAGGGGGAGTTTCATTTTCAGAGCAACTGCAGATTGTTTAGCCAAAAAGGGGAGAAAGACCCACCTTGTATCTTATCCAAAGGTCATATTCATGGTAGGGAAAATTAGAGAGTACAAATAAACTGAAACAAAAAAATTCCATGAAATCTCAAAACCCGAGTTTAACAAAAACAAACTTTGTTTCAACGCTTGGAGTGAATTTCCAGAAATTTTTCCTGTGTCCTGTTCCAATACATAGAGGCACTGTGGGGATCCAGTGCCATGGCATAGTAGGATAAGCCTCCCTCTGTGGCATCAGGAGCCCATTTGAGCTGTGGTTCGTATCCCAGCTGCCTGCTTTTGGCTTGGGAAAGCAATGGAGGATGTCTCAAGTCCCTGGGCCCCTGCACCTGCGTGGCAGACGGGGAAGAAGCTCCAGCTGTTGTGCCAGTTTAGGGCGTGAACCAGCCAGAGAAAGATCTCTCTCTGTCTCTCCTCCCCTCTGTAACTCTACCTTTCAAATAATAATCATAAGAAGGATTAATGGATTGGTTTGAAAGGGAGAAAGAGCTCTTCCATTTACTGGTTTTCTCCCCAAATGCTCACCTTAGCTGGGGCTGGGCCAGGCTGAAGCCAGGCACCAGGAACTCCAACTGGGTCTGTCACATGAGTGGTGGCCGTCTCTCCCAGCACGCTGGCAGCAAGCGTGACATCCAGGACTTGACCCTGATCTCTGATAGGGGATCCAGCTGTTGAAAGCAGAGGCTTCCCCTGGATCTGCCACAGTACCAGACCCCACACCCACACCCTGCTCTGATTTCATTGTAACTTGTGGCTAATACAAATATAGGGATAAACTAACAAGATGTGATGTGGAGAATTACTGAATTGAAGACAAAGGTATGTAAAACTGTTTTCATTATTTTCAGTTAAAAAAAATATCCATCGGAAATATTTTCTGGAGTCATGTCTGTGATGAGTTTGAAGTTGCAGCAGCAGGTAAAAATTCCTGATCGATCTGTATATTTTCTGCTGTTGTATCTCCTGTGTGGTGTGGAGCATGTTCTCATTTCAGTGCCTCTTTACTGACTGGGTGAAGGACACTTGCTCACTGTGATAACCTCATCTTGGGAATGAGACAGGCGGCATTCCTAGCGATGTGTTTCTATTGTATGCGTCAACCCCTTCTCCCAGCTCTGCTGATGTCTGCAGATGGCAGCTTTTCCTGGGCAGTGAAGCTCTCCACATTGTACCTGTCCCCACTTCTGGAAAGCAGGCCCTAATGATCTGGTTCCCACCATAGATCTCGTGGCAGATCTCTAAGAAGACGGTACCCACGTGTTGCCCTGCACCCTGCGCTCAGCCTGCAGAGTTGCAGACCTTTCGGGGCTCTTGCTCAGGTTTAACTCTCTGCATCTTTTTCTTTCTGAGGTCAGGTTGTCTTTTTGCCTGCTCCTTGGCATGCTTCTCCAGGAAGGGTGCTGAGCACTGAGATCTTGGAGTGAAGTAACTCCTTCAACCCTTCCCCAGCCTCAGTTTCCCTACCTAGAAAATGGGATGTATAGGACACATGACCCTGAAGTTCTTCCCTGGTCTAAAATTACAGGGCTGCCAGTGCTTGTTAAATAACATCTACCAGTCAGGGCCAGACAGCACGGCTTCCCTCATCCGAGACAATTGGACTGAATCATTACTTCCTCATCATGGAAAGGCGGAGAGATTTTTGTTGTTCTTAAGGCTTTGTTTATCTTTAATTCTATTTATTGAGCATCTAAACTGTGCTAGCACTCTGCTTTATTTTTTTAAATTCTTTTTACTTGAAAGAATTAGAGGCAGATTTTTCATCGGCTGCCTGACTCTCCAGGGGGTGCAGGGTCCTAAGATGTCGGGCCATCCTCTCCTAGGGAGCTAGATTGGAAGTGTAGCAACTAGAAGAGGAACTGGTGCCCACGTGGGTTGCCGTTGCCACAGGCCAAACATTAGTTTGCTATGCCACCACGCCAGCTCTTAGGCATTCTGCTTTAATTGTGTGATTATGACAATCATCAAAATAGCCTTTTCAAGGAAATAGCATTTTCATTACAACCCCACTTTACAGATCAAAAAATCAAGGCAGGGCCCGGCGTGGTGGCGCAAGTGGTTAAAGGTCCTTGCCTTGCACGCCCGGGATCCCATATGGGCGCCAGTTCTAATCCTGGCAGCCCCGCTTCCCTTCCAGCTCCCTGCCTGTGGCATGGGAAAGCAGTCGAGGACAGCCCAAAGCTTTGGGAACCTGCACCCGCGTGGGAGACCCAGAAGAGGCTCCTGGCTTCAGATTGGCATAGTATCGGCCCGTTGTGCTCACTTGGGGAGTGAATCATCGGACGGAAGATCTTCCTCTCTGTCTCTCCTCTCTGTATATCCGCCTTTCCAATAAATAAATAAATAAATAAATAAATAAGAAAAAAAAAGGATCGTCCTTTTAAAAAAAAAATCAAGGCACAATGGGAATAAGTAATTTATCCAATGTTACGTAACTGTTGAATGGTAGAGCTAGCTTTTTTTTTTTTAATTTTCTTTGTTCATTTATTTATTTTTGGAAAAGTAGATCAGATATATGAAGAGAAGGAAAGACAAAAAGATCTTCCATGTATTGGTTCACTCCCCAAATGGTGACAATGGCTAAAGCTGAGCCAATTCAAAGCCAAGAGCCAGGAGCTTATCTCTTCAGCCTGGGTGTAGAATCCTAAAGCTTGGAGCCACTGCTTTTCCAGGCCACAAACAGGGAGCTGGATGGGAAGTGGAGCAGCTGGCACACAAACTGGCACCTATACAGGGACCCAGGCCAGCAAGGTGAGGATTTAGCCATTGAGCTAGCATTTTAATGCAGATTTTTTCAACCCCAGGACCTGCAAGTCACTGGATCT